TAACAGAATTAGAGCTTGGATATGTATTAAGCCTTTATTTATGAGACTTAATTCAAAGATTTGGCACCAAAGCATTTCTGAAAGCATATAAATGAATCCTTTATGATTACTGGCCTTGGAACTAACCTTGTGCTTTCCACATCTATTAATATTGCATAGAAATCAAATAAAATCCATATCCTTAATTCTTTCCTGCTTGTTATGAAGTAGTTGCATAAATATAATGCTGGTATGTGTGAAATGCAGATAATTAAGCTTGTGGTTCATCACAGTGTACGCTGTGTCGCACTCGTATTTAGTTTGTGATTCCGAAGAAAATGTTTCAGATGAGTCCACCAGAGCCTATTCCTTTCCCTCCATCTCAGTCCGACCGGAAATCCAGTCCAATGATCAACTCACAGCATCCAGGATCCTCCAGCTCTCTCGCGTCTGGTAAATTTTGTTTGACAATTATACTATTATGCAGGGTTATTTTTAAAGCAATGTGGACAATATAGTAAAATCTAATGTAGCTCTCTTGAAACTTCTAAAAGTTATGTGTTTCTGTACAATTACCAATAATGTCACTTGATAAGAGATTATGTTTGTTTTGTTTTAAACTAGTGCGATATACAAACGATAGTCATCGAGGTAATTTTACATACAGAACTTGTATAAAAGAGAAGAAAAACGTTCTTATAGTATTCAACTTACACTGCGATCTTTTGTTACTTCCAGGACCTTTGGCAACATCCAAGCCAGATTCCAGCAACTTAAGTTCTTACAATCCATCTACGCAAGGTTATGCATCAACAACATATCCATCGCAAAAGACAGGACTATCCACTAATTCTGGTCGATCTAGTGCCACAGGGCTTTCAAGCAGTGCCGGACTGTCAAACTCAGCTGGACTGTCCAATGCAGCAGGGCTTTCAAATTCTACAGGAATTGCAAATAATTCTGGTCTTTCAAATTCAGCTGGACTTTCAAGTACATCAGGATTCTCGCATTCATCCTCATCACAGCCAGGGTCTTACCAGAACCAGTATCAGACTGGCTCAAACCAGTATCAAACTAGTCAGAACCAGTTCCCTAGTGGACAGGCTCAGTACCAAAGTGGACAAAGTCAGTATCAGTCTGGCCAGAATCAGTTCCATAGCAGTCAGACCCAATTTCAGAACTATGGACAGTCCGCTGGGTCGTCATTCCAGAATCCGAGTTCATACTCAAGTGGAAGTGGCTCCTACAGTGGATCGAGCCAGCAAAATCAAGGCAATCTGTATCAGTCATCTGCCACAAATTCTTACCAATCTCACTCCAATCAAAACTCACTCTATCATCAAGGCAATTCATCACAGACCACATCATATCAACCACAGACAAACTCATCATCTTATCATGGTGCCCGAGATTCGCAAGCTGGATCTTACCCTACAAGTGTTAGTAGAGACTCACAGTCGGCTTCATTTCAGGCCAGCGTGAGCCAGTCAGGGTCGTATCCAACTAGTGGAAGTCGGGACTCGCAGACAGGTTCGTCATTCCAGGCGTCTGTCACACAGTCTAGTGCTACTTCGTACCAAAGAGACAGTCAGTCGGCACTGTCGACACCTACCACACAGACACAGTCGGTATACACTACCTCTCAGGGGTATGGTTCATCGCCACATCAAAACAGCTTGCCATCAACCTTACAAACGTCGCCACTGTCTGGAGTGTCCGCTAATAAGATCAGTGAAACTTTGTCAAAGATGACTGTGAAAGACTCGCCTTTGGATACTAGGCAATCTCCTCAGGTATGAATGGCCAATTTTATAAATGCATAATGTAAACAAAATCCAAAATTGTGTGGTGTACTGCTGCACATCATTTTCTACCTATTTACAAGAATCTTTGTTGCTGAGGTGTCATAATTATTTTAAAAACAAGGAAAAATGAAAGAACATTTACAAGTACAAATAAATCCTTTGCTAGAAACTTTACTAATACACCAAATTGATTCTCCTTTCACTATTTTCCACTTTTACAAATATATTAAATACCATATATTGTCCAAATTTTGGCCAGGGCCCATATTCATGTAATCATCCTCATGCTCAAAGCTTGAATTATATGATCAAACTACCTAGAAAGATCTGTGCTGCTGGCATCTAATCTAATCAAGTCGGTATTTGGATTCCACAATTTTTTTAAGCTATATAAATTTTGTCTTGGTGTTGAACTTTTAAATGTTCCAAATGATTTGCATTGCGTAATATGGTAAATATTATAATTTTCATTGATTTTGGCTTGTTTACAGATATAATTGTAGAAAAGATGTATTTTCTTTGATTACTTTTAACACTAAACAACTTTTGGCCAAAACACTTTTGACTGAAGCTGGGCAAACTCTTACAAGTCCAATCAATCAAGATAGCTACTGTATTTAAGATATAGTTCTTAGATGCTGAAAAAAATATTACATATAGAGGATATTGCGCGCAGTCTGCGTTTGTGAAAGATTTATCACAATATATACCAAACTCCTATTTCATATCTGTAATTATATACCCAATGCTACACAAAGTGGTCCTTAATACTCCTTGTAATCACTCCAGCGACCCTTTAAGTTCCAAAGTTCAACATCACTGTTACTGAAAAAATAGTTTGAGGGGTGGATGGTCCTGATCTCAGAATCCAAAAGACAATTTGATTTTTTAATCAGACATGGTGATACACTGTGGTATGTAAATGTGTAGTAGTAAAAAAAGTTTCTAATTGGTAAGGTTAAGGTCATTGTGCTAAAATAAAAGATACCATGAGGGTAAGGTCAGACACATGGTGCGGTTCTTGCTGACTTCTACGTATTTTACTCCCTGGTGGTCGTAATTCTTGACATATCTTTTTGAAACTTAACAGATGTGTTAGCCCTCAATATATCTTGGGCAAGTTCAAATATGGTTGAGATTGTTAAATGTCACCTTATAGCTGTTGCTTAACTTGTAATTTCACTATAGATTCAGCAGGGACAGTCTTGGTAATGGTAAGCCATGGAAACCTTCTCTGGTTTAGACAGAACTAAAAACATTTTTTATTACATTATCCTTCAAAAAGAAATATAGCTTCCATGAACTTTGTCTAAACTAAATCCTGCTCTCTGATTGACCAGTTTAGTGTGTAAATAAGATCAGCGTGATTTTGTCGCACAAGGAAAATGTCATCTTTGTCTCTACCTCAAAACCTTAGCGATTTGGGCTAGTGAATTTACTTTCATATGTACATGAACATGAGATTTGGATAAAATTATACACCATCCTGAATCTTGAGACCCTTCTAAAATGATTTTGAAAAGAAGGAAGTGTTAACCGTTTACCCTTCCATCAATCCATCATCTGCTGAAAGTTGAACATTATTATAAACTTAATATCAATTTTCTGAAATAATGATTGTTCATTGTTAGTGAAAATTGAACTTGAATCAAACTCCATTTTGCCTATAAAATGTATTGCTTTGTAACAACATTACATAAAGGTAGATGCCCAGCCCTAAGATGTCTCTCTGGTACAAAATTGTGAAAAATGCCATAATGTTTTGCAATTACAGATTTCAATGTTGCTATTGGATTCTCTGTTCCCAATACTAATACAGTGTGGTAATTACTTCTATATAGTTTAGTATATGCTTACAAAGAGATTCAGAACTACTTTCAATTTAACAGTTGATAAAGTCAAAAGGACATGCTTGAGTGTTCATAGATAAGTTGGAGGGGAGACATATATTTATAAACACTGAAATACATTGTGACAGTTTATGTGATTGGTTCATTTCAGTATGACAGTTCCACATCTACAACGACGAGTAACTTGATGACAACAACAATAACAACGTCTCTGGCGACAGGAACAACTACTCCATCAGCTGTTGCGTCTACTATAGCATTAACAACAACAGTAGGATCCACCAAAGTCATGACTGCTCCTTCAACAAGCAGTGAGTAGGGTTATGGACTTTAAACAGAACAAGGAATTGCCAATATAAATGTTTATTTTGGCACAAGTTTGTGATAATTACATAGTATTTATTATTCGATTGTAATCCCTGAATGTATAAAGGGCTAGACAATAAAAAAGCCCGATAGTCTGAGACTAGAGAAATCTCCAACTTGGATAGTGGTTCTATAATGCGCTGGCCTTAATGACTAGTCAAAATTTAATATTGCTTATCATGTTGAACATTATTGGGTTGGTGGAATTTGCACATGGACTTGTAAAAAATTTGAAACTACCACCCTTAAGTTACTAGTGGTATTCAAAAATAACGTTTAGCCCTGAAATGTGGCTTTCTGTATTGCCCGTGGTTAGAACAGTTCCTTCCATCATTGTACTGATTAACTGTAGGACCAATAGCATCATAGAAAATGACATGGTTAATCTTATGGATGAAGTCGTTTGAATTGAGTGTTTATCAAACTGAATAGAAAACTGTTTTGAGTTTGGTCTTAAATCTTGTCACTAACTTGGATCAAATTTTCACAACTGTGTATATGACATGTGAAGTAGCGAAAATATCATCCCCTTCAAAAAATAGCAAGTTATGTGGTATATGTCCACCATTGAAGTTTGTGTGTATGAACTATTGTTCTATTTACAGCCACAAAGAACACTCCAAGCCTGCCTCCAGGTGTATTGCTGGGTCACCACCAGTACATCATGGGACAGGGAACAATGCCACCATACTTTGTAAGTCAGGTGTCACTCTCTATAAC